ACATTTGCTGTTTTAAATACTCCAGGAAAGACTGACTCATTGATAGACGAATTGATAATATGTGTGATACTGGGAAGCAGTTCATCCAGGCAGTCCTTGAGAAGCCATGTTGGTAAGGGGTCCAACGAACAAGACTTTGAGGCTGATGACTGTATTATTTTTCTAATTTCGTTTTCGGACAGCGTATTAAAGTGATCAAATGTTTGACTGGTATCAGATTGGAGATTGTAGTAGCCTGTTGTTGGTTGAGAAGACGTGTTATTTTCCAGTTCAGTTCTAATATCACTTATTTTATTGGTAAAGAAATTAGAAAACCGCTCTGCTAAGTCGACACTCTCAGAGTCAGTAGGTAAAGTAGTTTTACCGAAATTCAGATCAAGGAGCGAATTGACTACCTTAAAAAGTTCTTTCTGTTTATTTTCACTGGTCTCAATCTTTTCTGAGAAGTAAGACTTTTTCGCTGTTTCAATAAGTCGAGTGACACTGTTTTTACATGATTTATAGATCTCTTTATGGACTACCAGGTTGCTTTTCCTCCAAGTACGTTCAGCCTTGTTGCGGAGCTGTTTAGCTGACCCAATTTCACCATTGAACCATCTAGTACCAGGTCGCACTGTGATATATTTGGATTGTAACGGTACACTAGAGTCAACAATATACTGCAAGATTTTGTTGTATTGGACGGTCTGTAAATTCACAGATTTTATCCCCAAGATGTCTGACAAATTTGAATTGCTGATTGCGTCTTTCAGATCATCGAGGTAAAGTGTTTTATACTTCCGAAAGGTTATGTACTTTATCAATGGGAGGGGCTTTTTGATATCAAGAGAGTAAAATACGGGGTAGTGATCCGATAAGAGTTTGTCCTCAATGTTAACATTATTAGCTGCAAGTTCATCTTTTCTGGTGATTACTAAGTCAAGAGTATGCCCTCGGGTATGAGTAGGGATGTCTATATTTTGTTTAAGTGAATATGCATCTAAAAGTTCACTAAATTTGCGCGCATTTGGTTCTGTCGCACTGTCAACATGACAGTTAAAGTCGCCAACAATTAACAGTTTGAGATTTGATGAAGACAGTTTATCTAGCAGTGCTGAGAATTCTTCGATAAACAGAGGAAAACGACTTTGATTTGGTGGGCGGTAAATAATAATTTTCCTGATTTTAATCGATTTTAGAGAGATTGTACTATCTAGTTATTCAAATGATGTGAATGTATCTTGTTTATTTAAAACAACTGATATAGATGACTTGTATATCAAGGCAACACCGCCTCCACGAGAAGTTCTATCAATGTGTTTAATGGCGTAGCTCTCCGGAACTAAAGCAGATAACGTCACACCTTGTGAATCGGAATTTAGCCAAGTCTCGGTAAGAGCGAATAAATCAATGTCATTTTCACAAACAAAATCATGTATTTCCGATGTCTTATTTTTAACTGATCTAGAGTTTAATAGGCACAGGTCTAATTTGATATTGTTACTTCTGGTAATTACATTATGATTATCATTATTGTCGCAGTTGACTTTGATAAGATTGTTAACATTTACTTGTGTTGGTGTTGAATACTTTAGAAATCTACCAGTAATTCTAGCTGGGATGTGATTATGTCTCTTTAAGCCAGATGAGCATCCCCTTCGTGTTCGTTTGAATTTAATAATGTTTCTAGTAATACCCTTTATATATTTAGAATCATGGATGGATAAAATATTACTGTGTTTTAGTTTTAGTAGATCACCTTTAGAATACTTGAACTTGACATCAGTTGAGCTGTTATCACCACAGACAGCCATACCATGTACAACTGTCACTAGTTCAACGTATACCTAGTTTCACGCTTCAGTGATTGTTATGTGATGACCATAACACTGGGTGCACAATTATAAAACTTCAAATAAAACAAAAATATAGATTTTTCTGCTAAAAGTCCCAAATATACAGGTTCTAGGAATCCTAACAAAAAACACTGTTATAAAAATTATATCTAGAAACTAGACTTGTAGTACTTAAATTGAAAATTCACAGAGCTGAAACTGGGAGCAGCCACTTGCGCTCACCATACTAAGGTATCTTATGTTTTCTTGTAAAGCTCTAGACAATGTAACTTTTTAAATCTGCCGAGATAAGCACATATTATTTCTTGTAATACTCTAGGCTATAGAAGATTTTAAGTTTGCTGAGTTCGCCCTGATCCCGACATAGTACAACATTGAACTCCTATCATTTCTCACATCCAAGTCTAACCCTAAAAATAACCCCTTACAAATGAATAATAACAGCTTAGGGACACTTCAAGGTAGATCTTTGATATATGTTAGATTTTCTAAAAGGTAAAGATTTATTATTAAGCGTATTTGGATATACATATACTTTTATAATTTGGTATATGGGCCATCATTTGCGCTTCGCCATGACACCAAATTATGGTCAATAAATTCAACAAAACAATGTGAGAAATGTAAAAGAAAAAAAAAAACAGTTGGAAAATAGAAATTGTTAATATAGAATAAATATTTGTTGTTTTAAAATTGTGAATTGGTACGTTTGAAAATGTGTTTATTGTCATAGCTACTTTGCCATTGTTATTTCGTAATTTTACAGATGAACAAATCGACGCTGTATGGTTGACCAGTGTGTTTTGCAACAGCCAGATCCCAAAGAAAGTTTATAGAATGAACATAACAACACCTACCCATGTCTCTCACCTACACACACACAACCCCAAATTGAAATAAATGGAATGATAATAAATTATCGTCCTAAATTGATAGGCATCTTCATCAAAACAAAAGATATTACGGGCGTGACCCTAAGGTCATGGGTATCGTCAATATACAAAACCATTTAAATATGGGCAATTAATAAGGGATACAACATCGATCACCATTTCCTGTTTATTTGGGAAGTTCACATATTCTATACTTTTCGATGAGAATATTGCTGTCGCCCCCTGTCTCTCTGTGTGTGTATGTGTGCGTGTGTGTCATCTACAGGCCGCACGCAATTTTTATATGAATTCCTTATACCCTAAGGATGATCCCTATTGTGTTTAGTGCATGCCCGACTCCCCGTGCCACTGCCACGCCCATTTCTTGTATTTATTTGTTTGTCATCTACAGACTGCATTTCTTAACGTATCACCTTGAAACTTTGCATACTTATTCCTTCTGTCCTACGGAACATCCCAAGTGTTTGTGGTGAATGCCCAGCATAGGGGCAGAGCCACGCCCATTTTCTTTTTGTATGTCTGTCTGTCACTTACAGCCCGCAATTCTTAATCGATCGTCTTGAAACTTTACATATCTATTCCTTATAGCCTAAGAATCACCCCTATTGTTTTTGGTGAATGGCCGACCCCCAGGGGTAGAGCCACAACCAAATTTTCTTTGTATGTCTGTGTGCTGCCTACAGCTAGGCCACAATTCTTAATGGATCGTCTTGGAACTTGGCATTTATTTTCCTTACAGCCTAAGGACGCCAACTATTGATTTTAGTACATGTACCGAAAGATCCCTTGACAGTTGTAATCCTATATAAGAGTAGGCCGTAGTGCCGCTGTCCAGGCAAAATATCCTTAGCCCAGTTCGGGGCAGAACAGTAGGACGTTAAACCCAATTTCATTTCATTTCATATTATTTTGTCACCATGAATCATTTTCCGAAAACCTCGTGAACGCAATCGAGGCTACAGATTTTAACGTTTGTTTTGCAAATTTAGTGGGACGCATTGGGGCCATTGGATAAAATCCTATCGATTTCCAGCGTTCCGCGACTTTCTGCCCCCTCCCCCCTCCCACACACACTCACCTTGCCGAAGACCTAGGGGATGCTCCGAATTGACGGAATTGCAATCGAGTGACGGACAATTCAGTCCTGTCTCACAGTTCAGTCAGTCCCAACAACGGAGGTGGTGTGAGTAGAATCATGACGTAATTAAACACAGCGAATATGTTTCAGCTTTCATGGTTGGTTGGGATATTTTCTAGCACCCTATTCCCATTTTCACTCGATTGTCACTATTTTTGGGATTGACAGAATTCAATTCTCGAAGGGTCATTTGAGTGAATGCGATATAGGCCACAGTTTTAACATGTTCTAACATTTTGTGTGAAACATTGGTACCAATAAAGGATGAACCCGATCGATATCCCGCATTTTACCTCTTATTTATATATTCAAGAGTTATCAAATTTGGTCAACATCCAAGTAGAGACATTGCTGCTGTGTGGACGTACTTCCACGTTTTGAGTGGCTATCTTTTATATTTATTGAACATTAATAACAATATAATATGCACAATTAACATAATATGATATGCACAATTAATATAACAACAGTAACAATTAATATACACATATATTATAACTGTATAGTATATATTTAATATACATGATGCTCCGCATTTCATACATCGGTATCTTTCAAATATGTTTTTCAATTAGTCTTTTGTTTCGTTTTGGTTGATATCCCGTTTTCGTTAATTCCGCACACAGTTTTAGTTTTAAAACATCTAACAAGTTTATTATGTACTTAGTTGTGTACTGTAAGCAACCAATGAAAATGTAACAGGTCCGTCACACCACTGAACAATAAAAAAAACACACCTCACAAGCTGTTCTGAATATATGTTAGATATTAGAAATGTAGGAACTCAGAACAACATAGACAAAATGATCCACCTAGTTGGGTATTAATCCTTTTAATCCCCAGTTTTTCGAATATCGAATAATTCGGGATAGTTTAACCACTACATAAAAAGCATATTTAATTTATTCACCAATACTAATATCAACGGCATTAAAGCGATTAATGAATTTAGAGAGTAGTGTCTTAAATATCATGTGACTTTATTTGAGTCGACAGGAAAAACTTTACACATATTGTTCATATCATATACAACGTAAAATGAATATGTAAACACTCCAAGGTCACTTAAAATATAATAAGTTTAAAGCGGACATGTTTAACACTTTTTGAAGCCACATCTCCTCATCGGTAATTTTCTGTGTCCCTGGAGAGGAAAGCAATTTTAGAATGAAAACTGATTCGGAACGTACGTGAATGTTTTATCGGAATCTAAGCGATTTAAAACACACAGGTTCAATATTTACCAGATATATACAAACCTCAATCCCAAATTAATTATGGCAAATGCTACTTCCTTGAAAATTTATCTTTTTGTAAAGCATCGAGCAATCATACCGCTGATCTCTACTTTGCCAAAGTAGAAAATGCTCATCGATGAACTTTGTCGTGGTAATGATGTAATGGAGCTAAATACATGTACCAAGTTTCAATATCCTCTATAGTGTCACAAAGCATCCGTATATCAAATTGTTTATATCTGCTTAGTCTAGGTAGTAGATGCCCAGTCAAGGTATGCACGGGAAGATAGGCGGGCATACAGACGAACACAAAAAAAGGCGGTGGACAGTAACAGCAGTTTAATACACACGGCACACCGATTTAAAAGCACAAACAATATATGGAATTCGCCGAACTCCTCATCTGGTTATCGGGTAAGCGTATCATCAACGTAGGTATTACAAAATTAACCTGTTTACACTTTGATCAATATGCATTATGCTTCAACAATCAAATCACAATAACCATTAATTTTATATAGTTTAAGGCAGTTGATGAAGGCAGCTAAATATATTACGGTAAATTTTTATTAAATAGAGGCATGAAATGCTAATAAATGTAATCAAATTTTAAATGGCGGATGTTGAGCCCAATTTTATGTCTACGTTATTGGCCATGTGGATATTCGACACTTCCGTTAAACTAAATGACTTTCTCCAATCGGAATTACCGAGACGTCGACGACCGACGCGACTCAGCAGATTAAGTAATCCATGTTTTAGCGATGGTGTATGAAACACTGATTTGGAATAATTTAGTGAAGAGAAAGAGCTGTCAATGTCATCACTTCCTACGCCTTCACTACAAGTAAGATTAGAACTACTCTCATGACTCACATTCATATGTTCATGCGCATCGCTATTATCTATATTTTCACTTCCGTTCTGTCCAGGTTTTGACCTTTTCTTTCGTTTTGTTGAATCACTGACGTCATTATATGATCTCGAGATTTTGATAGGTATTCGTGAATACGGTGTTGTGTACAAGTTCGATTTTGAGCAATTTCCATTATGAATTTTTCTGCGTGAACACTTCGTGGGTGGACAAGACGTGTTTCTCAGTTCAATGCTCGATTTAGCCTTTCCTTTCCCCTTCCAATTACCATTGACGACATATTCGGAAGACGAGTGTGCCGAACTTTGAGCGTGTGATGGCAATCCCGATAAACTAGTGGTTGTTTTCGGCAGCTCAATGTAACGTTCTTGTTGGTCGATATTAGGATCTTGCGGCCATGAATGATCGTCACACTTAAACGATAATTTAAAACTATTATTCTGTAGTATGGTGTCATTACTATAAAAAAAAGGAAACACTAAGGTAATTGCAAAATTATATAAATCAAATAAAATCTTATCTCTTTGATAAATATTCAAGATAGTGCAATAATTGGTGACTAATTGGTGACTAATTTTCCTTTTGCTAACTACCGTAAATTTACGAAACACTGTTTTATGGCGGTAGTTCAATTTTTCATAAACAATTGACTGTGTTGATATTTAACTTCTTTTTCACCATTGGTGAATTATATTCAGTCGATCAAACCTCGTTTGCACGGGGAAATTCATGAATTCATCAAATTTTGCATATATTTTATATAGATATGTACATATCAATTGTACATGCAATATATCCAAATATTGCCTATCTGGCTTTACAGTCTTTAATTTTCATAACACAGAAAGCACTGGGTCAAAATGTTAAATACTAAATTAACCCAGGTCGGTGACCGTATCTGTTTTTCACAATTAAAGATCAATCAATACTTCTTGTCCGGGGCTATAGCTATTGAAGGACACTGTTTGGCTCGAGAACTTTTATATATTATGAAAATTTTCACAGGCTCCATATTTGATATGGGTCGACCTCTTTGATTTGGGTCAAAAATAAAAGCTTCAGTTTCTTTGAATTTGGTATATTGATTAGTTTTGTGGAATGTCATCTGTTTTTATTAAATTGTACGTCTATTGATAAAACCTGCGTTCAACTTTATTATTATTTAAGTGTTAAATTATGATGCATGTCAAAATGTCGCGGTTTCGATCCCAGCTTTCTACCTGTCAAAGAGTAAGGTCGCTTGCCGAACCTCAACCTTTTGCTTGGCAGGAAACGTAACATATGTCAGCAAAGGGTCGATGTGTACTTTTCAAACTGACGATCTGAGGACACTAGATATGACTTTGTATAGTTTTTTGTAAGAAAATAGACTTACAGACTGTAAGAATTTACCTTGAAGAATTATCAGGCTGATAATAATCATCACTAATCATAACACTTAAATCGATATATGGCTGGGTAGCTTCTAATAACCCCTCTAGTTTCAGGCGTAACTGTCTAAATGTCGGTCTATTAGAAGGTGTAGGATGCCAACACGCCAACATCATTTGATATCTGAAATATTTATTATTGTAATCCTGTTATTACCATAGATTAAAAATCTGTGAAGAGGCGTTTATATTCACAATACAAAAGTAGATATAATATTTTGTTTACAACGTCGACATAATTATTCTATGATGAGATTTTTCCTAGCGAGTAAATTTTGGCGATCAATCAAGAAAACTAAAGAAAAACTAAAATGTAACGTTGACTTTAATCAGAAAGTTCGCAAACGTAAAAATTTGCGGAAACAAAAATTTACAGGAAAATTTTATCCGTATTTGTTTTTCCTGTAATTTACAGAAATTCCATCAATTAACATAAATTCCGTTTTCAAATACCAAAAAAAAATCTTGGTAATTTTTGTTTTCAGCGCATGAAAGAGAAATAAATGTCATTGATTTAGAGGTAATTAACTCTTCGCTGTTGTAGCATGCCCAGGGGCTTACCATTGACTTAATACGCAACCTCTTTCTGGTAACATAAGAATACAGAACATCCTAATCGATAGACGAAAGTAAGGTAACCCATTTATGCGTTACACTCAATTCGCTAAAATCCGATTGAATCTGAAATAACGAGTCCGTATATTTTACCGAATTCAATCTGGAACAACTATTCCGAATCGGGTTATTCGCAGTCAAAATTTGAGTGTGGCGCGCTTGATTCAGATCAACGGATATACCGAAACCGAACAATTTTGCGCGCGTTTTCACTTCTACTTTCTTTTTATCGCTTGGAGGGCTAATATTCTGAAAATAAATAAAAATAATATTGCAAACAGAAATCAGTTGGGTATAGCCTACATAGCCCGTAGCCCTACCTCACTAAACATATACTGCGGTAACATAAGTCCATTATTTTCTTATCCCTAAATTTAACGAAATGTCCTGTTTAATACTGAATATTCCATATAAATACACAAAAATACGTAATTTGAAGAAATAATTCACACTTTTAACACATTTTCTCCACCCCACCCCCCATCGATTAACAGAAAAAAAAAGAGTTAAAAGAATTCGGTCACATAAAAAATGGATAATTCTTATAGTGTAGATATCTAAAATAACGATAGTAATAATTGTTTGGATCTAGGCTAATAATACATTGCATAATTTATAAACTGTATATCTTAAATAAATATAACTTACGTCGGCACAGACACATTTATCTTACTTACAGTTCCTGTCCGCAATTATCTGGTTTCTCCATGCGGTAACCATCTTTTAACAATTTGAAAAGATTTTCATTCGGAATACCAGGATACGGACAGCCACCCAGAGTTACAATTTCCCATAAGACAATTCCAAACGACCACCTGTTGAGACAAAACGGAAATAAAAAAAGTACTACTTGGCACCTGTCAACGTATCGATGCATATTTAAAATCAATTATTAACAAGTAAATTGGAGGTTATTTTAGATCTATGTATTAATTTGTTCACTGGAAAGGGTTTACTTTCGCGTATCTGCTGCATGAAACGGTTTTCGTATATATAATGTGATTTTAAAATTGTGCGAAAGTTCCGCAATGGCCATCTCTGCCAAAATCCTTTCGGTTTTTTTTTTACTTAATTGCTCTAAAGACTCCACTCTACACAGAACAAACTTTGAACAATAATAAACGAAACGAAATGGGATATGTGGGCATCTGATAAAACCAAAGGTTTCGGCAAGTCCTAAAGATGTAACAAAATCCTGTTTCTTGATTTTCTGTGTATGTACAAAACACAAATTCTATTATTCAATAATATATTGAAACTAATAAATTTCACCAGAAACCTGAAATATAATACTCTCCTCGAAGACCAATTTATTTGAATAAGTGGGGGAAGATTGAAATGGAAGAATTGTAATTTCGCCTTCATATTCCCAGAAGTTCAGCAATTAGACTATTTATTATAGAGATAATTCAATAGATCGATTACTTACACATCGCTTTTGACAGTGAAGACTTGATCAAAGATGGTCTCTAAGGGCATCCATTTATAAGGCAACTTCCGACTAGACGTCGGTTGATACATGTTAGTTTCGTAAACATCTCGGGTCAAACCGAAGTCTGTGATTTTAAGTAGTTGTTTAGTGGACAGAAGAATATTTCGGGTGGCCAGGTCTCGATGTACAAATTTCTTCTCCGCTAAATATTCCTAAAACATAGATATACACTGCTTAAAATTGTAAATATCTTTTTAATACCATCTTATAGATAATATCCCCACCCCACCCCAGACGTATCTTTAATGCCATATTGGCGTTTATTGTCAATCGTAATACGTAATACTAGTATATACTTGTAGTCCTTTGCTGGCATTGATTTAGTAAATGGGAATCGCAATAAACTATAACGCATACTTATGGAACAAAGATTTGAAGAATAAGGAAGTGACGCAAGAAAAAGGAACACGGGTATATCCTTAACATTGAAGTAGACAGCGATAACAGATACACATTACTATTATTTATTTCAAGCAAGAACACACGAACAGCAACAAATATCTAAGGCAAATACAGAAATAAATATCAACGAATAAATCAGGTTAATTCTTACCATTCCCATTACAATTTGTCTGGCATATGACAACAAGGTGGTGGGATTGAAATCAGCATCTTTACTCGGTTCTAGGTTATAAAAAGAGAATATATTTTGTTATTTACGGCAAATGTAGACTTTCCGATTGCACACAATAAAAAGGTAGTCCACTTAAAGAACAATATTGGTTCCAGCCAATATTATCTGACGTGATAGATCTGGCTAACCATATTCCAAATATAATTTTAACACAGAGATCGTCGCTACGATTAATCCGTAACATAGATACGAAGAATCAGGAAGTGACGCACAATTAAAGTAGCTAAGTCTCTAACTCAATATCATCCAAAATCTTCGACATTGAAAACACGATTTATTTGCCTGTTTAAATCAACATTGATGTTGTGATCTTACCGGGAAAAGATGGCCTTCTGAAACCCAATATTTAAGACAAAATAAACACTTTACAATTGGTACACGAATCGTGTATCATAATGCGTTTCAGCGCTATGGGTAATAAGGGACTCGAAAAACGAGGCTAGGCATATTCCACAAGTCATGTCAAACGGTGACGCTATATTCTTATCTGGAGAGCATGCCTAATAAATACTATCGGCGTAGACTGGAATAACCAGAAGCTAGAGATTGAAATTCGATTGAGAATACTGGCGTATGTCGCCGATTCTAACTGATTATAAATTACAGTAAAAACAGAAACGATTGAATGTAAATCAGTTTATATACATTCATATTATATTATTGTATGCGTTGCGAACCATTTGTGTCAATTTCTAGGTCCCAAATATTAGCGACTTAGCTCCTTTAAATCACGAGTTATCCTTACTATTGAAGTCGATTAGATACACAGTCGATTTTCAGTCCACTGATTATCCCGTAAGTCGTAAAGCTGTTCTATGACATCGTGGGAGGATATCTGCTGTTCGAAACGAATTATACATGAAAAGAATTGACTGTCTTGGGATAGGAGAATGCGAGGAAAATATTTTGTTTCATTTCTCTATTTACACATTTAATGTGATTATTATAGTTTAAGCCGGCGGCCCTATAAATATAGACGTACTATTATTTTATTTTTCTTAAAAGTTACGAATGTCTCCATGACTTGGATTACAAATCGGCGAACCCTACCGAAGAGTTGTTCAGTAATGCTTGACCTACTTACTGGAGAATTCTACGTTCGACTATATGAACACTATCTTTATCCAGATTGTTTTTCAGGCCTAATTTGCATATTTAAAGCCCGTTTTGTAATTGGGTGCGGTACTTCAACGTCTGATTCTAAGTACTGGTCGTTCTTGTGTTCGAGATAAGCTTACTCTTCCAAAACACCTCATATCACTTCCCATGTTTGGAGTACTGACAAATTTTTTTGAACATGTTCAGGATATCTCTGCGGTGACCTTGGATGAAAAGATACTGTGACCGTAGTTTGAACGTACTGGACCCTAATTCAAATGAACTACGGTCAACTAAGTGCGTTACCGTAAGATGTGACCGCGGCTTTATATCGTGACAATCCATTCTTTTTATGAATAATTGGTTTCGAACAGATACGCCCTCCCCCCAACCACCACCACCACGGTCTCACAGAATTACAACGGGATTATCAGTGAGCTGAAAATCGAATGTTGTTATCGCTCTCTACTCTGCGTTAAAATTATACTTGGAATGTGTTTAACCAGGTCTGTCACATATGTAATATTGGCTGACGCCAACATTGTCTTTTAACGAAAAACATATTGAACCCAACCATTTTAAAATCGGTAAATTATAAGTTCGCTTTATTTTCTACTAATTTGACGCCGCCTTCTGTAAGCGATGCCTTCTTTATATATGGACATTAGGTACAATATGACAGCTAACACAGAAATTTTGTATTAGATACACATTTCCACAAAAAATACATAATCTAAATTCATATTATCTACCCTTGATGATTTCATTGAGAGTCTTAGCGTTCGCAGATATGGGCAAGGATAAATATTAAACATACATTATGCAAGAGCTACATCCGCCTATTGCTTCTCTTTCTTTGGGCCCGAAATGTTATGTAAATTATTATTTAGACATTAAAGATACATTATGGGAGATTAGATAAAGAGCTGACAGTTCTTGCTATAATAGTTAAAAACTAGATAATGTAAAGGTAACTTCTTGAAAATTTCAGTCATATTGGTCCACTATGAACCATTGTTTTGATTTAATTATCAATGAGCGTTTGCAGCATAATAATATAGGATTCTAATCCAGTCGATATCGAAGGCTAGCCTTGACATCGAGAGTTGATTATGGTCTGGATAAGTTAATTAATGTCTAATTAATAATTTAGATAACATTTCAGACCTAAAGAAATACCGCCGATAGTCAGATTTAGCTCTTGCATAAAGCATGTTTAATTAACTTATCTAGACCATAATCAACTCTCGATGCCATCGCTAGCTTGTGATATTTACTGGATTTGAATACATTTTGTCATGGATGATTTAACGTCAAAACGGATAATCGGTTCAGAGTGGAGCAATTTGACTGAAATTTTCAGCATATTCTATTTACTTTATCTATTTTGTAACTATTATAGGGAGATCTGTCAGCTTTTTATATAATCGCACATAATACCCCTTTAATATGGTAAACACCTTTCTCAGTTTAGAATCATAAACTATACAAATAATGGTTTACCTGTATCACATTTAGAAGGATATGGTAAATGTACTGATAATAATTTATCACCTGTATCAACACCGTGTCTATATTCTACAATAAACAATTAGATATCTCTATTGGCTATCATTAAATGTGTATTAATTTATTCAATCCTTGTTTGCATACACATAAGATCAATGTAAAAAAATCAAATTCCTTTGATTTTTATTATTTTACTTTGTTATGAGGCATTGAAAAGTCATCTATTCAGATGTTCGTTGAGGAATCTGATAGCATTATTGGGACACAGATGTAGATGGGAGTTCATTTTGGGGCGGGACAAGTGAAAGGGGACTTTTTGAAGACCGTGTTGTTAGCGTTTACTGTATTAAGCGTAGCATAGAATATGAAAATAAAAGCGCTGTCTATGGATGACCTTACCGTTAGATTCATGTCCAGCTTGGCTTATACCACTATCAGAATTTCTTTTATAACCAACAGAAGGCTAGAAAATATAAGACAATGTAAAAAAAAAATAATAATCTTAAAATAGCAAGATCTCTTTAATGGGGGTCGAGTTCATTGAATTTACGTTGAGATATAACAAATGTTGAGATTGTGTTTTTCCTGCTTAATCTTTCAAAAGAAGTTGTTAGTCGTATAGCTTTTCCTATAACTAATCGAAATTACCCTTTAGTACGACCTAAAACAAAGAGGTGCAGCTCATACTTTTTGTTGAAACAAACAAACAAACTTATTTTGGGCTTTCCGTTAGATAAATATTGGTACCATTATAATTATGGAATACGAAACAGCTCTTTATTCAATGTTCCTAATTCTTAGTTCTTAATTATTTCATAGTCCTTAATTATTGTTTCTTCATTTGTTGTCGTATTTATACATTTGTACACTAAAATTAACATTTGTATCTTAAATTAAAATCAATATTTGTTTTATAAATCAGACATTAATTTTGTTATATCAGATTTGTAAATTGTATCTTTGTTTAATTTAATTGTATTTTAGGGTGTGGCGCTGAAATAGGGCGTATAAAAGAAATGCATATCCCGTAGGAAATCAATAGAAAATAATACGCTTTATAAAATTGACCTTAGTGTTCGTCCTCGCATAACCCCAATGCTTCACACCAAATTTGAAAAAAAATACATTCAAACTGTAGCTGCTTTATGAAAGTTTCCGGAAAAGGGGAAGGGGGGTAACTCTGGAACAAAGGTCACGGGGCGCTGAATATTGATAGGGATCTGTATACCATTTTGTTTATTTTCAGCTCCTCGGGTGTTCACCAAATATTAAAACCAGTATTCACTTTGTTCCGTTATTAAGTTATTGGATGTCCAGTATTGATAATTCTCTTGTTATGAACCAAGATGAACAGCGCAATGTTTCGATGGTACGGTTGCGACCAAAGATAATTTATCCTTATTGGAGTGTACTATTCATACTGGAAATTACGTCTGATAATCAATCAGTGTATCGTGTAGAATGGTGCTAATTCTTATGAAATGAAATGGGGTTTAACGTCTTATTGAATGGACCAATGAAGACGGGCATACACAACAGCTAGCTAGAAGGGAAATTTTGTCCCAACAGCGGCGCTATGACCTACTATTATTTCGAATTCCAACTGTCAACGGCCCTTTTACGTGTACGTCAATGTGTACACTGGACCTCGGTTTTTCGTTCATTCCGAACGACTAAAATCTAATATAACAATGAAAGAATTTAGATCATTATTCATTATATTATGACCTAAGACTTATACCGGGTATGTAACATTGATAAAAGTTCAGCTAGGTAAGTTGGAGCTAACATATTTCATATTCCTGAAGCAATGGCCCGAGAAATCCCTCTCTGGCCATTGCTGGATTAGCTTCTGATACTTGCGCTTTTGAGGGAGTGTGTCTATTCTTCCCGTTCAATCAAATCTATCCCCAAACATAGCAACATGACAGCCCTTCTTTTAATCAGGGGCCTTCCATAAAACTTTGGACAGTGATTTAAGGTATTAAAAACGGTGAAAGTGTTGTTCGTCTCAAAACAATATTGTTTGTAAACATTATATCCGTGTTGACAGTTGATAGCCTTGTTTGTCACACAATTAGTTTTTTTGCAATATTTTCCTATGCATTGGTTAATTTGGCATAATAAAATCGTGAGTCATGACGTAACGTTATGTAAACATATTTGGCCCAATTTGGAGCCCTGTTTGGTATTGTTACGCAGTTAGCTATTGGTTGTTAATCGGACTATTGACCAGTCATAATTTAGAACAAGAATTTGCTTTCTTTACAGCAGTGAGTAGTGGGATTAGCTCTAATCAAACGAAACATTGCGAGGAGTATGACATTTAGACATTTAAAATTGAAAAGGAAGTTAATATAGTAAAATCTTAAAATTCACCCTACCAGAAACTGGTAACAATGTACAGTTTTAAAATAGGCGAGACTGTGAAATATGAAGTTTTCCTGACAATGATATATTACAAGAATGAAACATGCTAACTTCATCACATTTCTGTTAGAATTCAGGCTTCCTTTATTGGCCTTAAAATAACTACATTTCAGACAGTACTAGAAGCACTCTTATTTCGATTTTTTTTATTCGTAAGGGTGAATACTCATAATGAAGACACTATATCCTCCAATGAGATTCTTTGGGCATGTTTAAAAAAAAATCCTTTCATAAATCAAATATTTAAGAATTTTTCTATAATGGGGTCTTTAACTATTTATTACATTTATATCGTTCATTTTTTGTTCTTAACAATTGTACTATTATAACTGCCAATTACAATTTATGTGGAAAGGGCATCGGTAAGTGTTCGTAACTTTTGTCCCAACCCGTTTGTACTGTATTAAAGTGTATTTATGTTCTAGTACAATATACAATGTTTAAACCAACCAAGCATTGTTATCTAATAGAAATCTATAGAAAGGGACAAGATAAGAGGATGTAATATGAAGTATATGATACGCATGTATTACTGTCTGATCACGACATAATAATAAAAAAAGTGCACTCTTTGGAATAACGTAGCTATAAAAGTTTTAAAAATACACCTACATGTATGACCTGGCGGTTCGTACCCACTGTTGGGAACGCCTCTGTCTTATTTAATTAAAATCCGTTCAAAGTGTACATAAAAGCAAGTCCCCGAGAACTGATACTATTAGACCCATCTAATTAACTTATGAACGGATCTCCTCATGCAATATCCTTAATAGCTTCTGTTCAATTAGGGACAAGATAGATATAATTGCGTGGCAGGATATTTACCCATTATACTATAGAACATCCAAAACCAATTATCATACTTTTGTATTCCAGACTAAAGAGCAAATATAGACTTTCCGGCTATACTAGTCTGCCGGATTTAGATTATTTCCTGGAAAAAGTCCCATCAAAGCAAACTTGGTCTTGATTTAAAGGTGGGGTCCGTAGGTACTCCAGAAAAAAATGACCCATCATGATCGCTTGGGGAATATTTTTGGGCGGGGTCAAAGGTCAGGGTCGACCAATAAGAAAAGAGCAGTCAATAACTCAAAAACTATCAATGTTAGACAATATAAATGTATTATCAAGATATAGGAACTCTATATCTCCGAGTGGAATAAAGCAGTCTGTACTAATGGACTTAAATGCCAGTGCCTGGGCAAAGTTCCACCATAGAAGAAAATAACCCATGGGGTTGTCCAGAAATGATCGAGGTATTGTGTCGACGAAACGTTTAACTCAATTCTACTTTATTTTTAAAAAAATTAAAGGAGCATTAGGTAAGATTATAGTAAGGGAGCTAGGAAAGACATTGGTGGGGCTTTGGACACATGCTCCTTACTTCGAAGGTCAAGGGTCGTTTGAATTCACCAGTGTAATATTCTCCACATCTACAGTTAATTTGGTAGACACAGCCTTTCGGGAAGGTAGGCTTTGGGAGGTTTGACTTTTCATTAGCATTTACTAACTCGTTAGTTGTTGCGCCTTTGGGGAATGTGGTTTCTATTCCTGCTTCTGTTTTAAATAACCTTCTAAATTAGATGGGGGTGTATGATTTGATAGGTTGGATAATGTGGCTTTGGTGAACATGTTTACTATGTTCTGAATAGTCGCTGTGTTGGACGAAGACGTCTTTTAGATGTTGTACTTCCAGATTTGTAGTAGATATATTGGTCGATGTGTGTTGGTTTTCTGTACACTGAGGTGGTGACATTGGAGTTATCTCTTCTTACCATCACATTAAGAAATGGGAGGCTGTTGTTCGTTTCATTCTCCATTGTGAACTTCATTCTTGGATGTTGGTTGTTCAGGTGATTCAGGGGGACGACAGTGTCATCTTCTTTTTGTAACATGACGAAAGTGTTATCCATCTTTCTGAACCAGAAATTGGTTAAAGAGAGCGGTTAAAGTGCCTTCTTCTGGTGACATCATGTAAATTTCAGAAATAAGCGGGGATAAAGGAAACCATGGATCTGTCCATAATAGTTGTACGCGGAAGTCGAATTAACTCATCTCTCCGGGCGGGGGGAGGGGGGGTAACGGTGGCTAAGAGGGGTAAGACGCTGACTCGCTAGCCTGGAGGTCGGGTGTTCAATCCCTGCATTGGCCGAGAAAGTTCATCCAGATTTTCCGGCGTGGTTCCTCCTTGTCAGTGATGAAATTTAGACAGTTGCGAGCCCCCCCCCCCCAACACACACCCTTCTCCTTGTCACGTACAACCGGGGATTCAAAACCACGCCAGTTGACTCAATGACAGACCTTATGATACAGCATGCACGTGTTAACCAGTTAGGTGAGAGTGCATGACTATAGGCAGAAATCACTTCGAGACAAGCCACTGAGGCGTGCACATTCACCGTGTCGAGTACCACTTTTAGTAGGGAAAATTTTCGGAACATGGCACCCTAATACAAATTTAAATTCTGTTAGTTCAGGGAGTAGTAATTGTAGTATGTTTGAATAAGAATAGAATAATGTCTACATATCTAGGAATCGCAAAACGTTCGATCTGCCTATTGATGTTTTTATTATAATGGAAAGTGGTTGCGTGTATAAATTCTACCATGTAGAGCAAATCTTTGTAATAATATCTTTAATCGATGTTACTGGTATCAATGAGAAATGCGGACATACAGTCTGGCCAACTTCATATAAACATTTTAACTGGGTAATTATCTCATTGTTACGTTCTGACATCTACTTCAACTAGTTAATATAGTCTGAAGTGTATCTGATAATTTATTACTAAAGTCGTTTAAAGGTACTATAGAAAATATTTGAGGCAAACAAACTTTATTGACATTTATAAATGACATAATATGTAACCTTGGTGTATATTGGATTTGTCGTTTATACAGATAATGCTACCACCATACAAACGTACGATGCGCCATGCTGAAAAAGATATTGATATTGCACCCGATTTCATTAATCATCAAAAGATGTTTTTTCATGCTATATCAGAAATATTAATTTGAAAAAATATTCATTTGAATATCTGTTCAAGTACACTGGTTTCATTCTTGAATCACGGCTTTGTGTTAGGAATTTGTCAATGCCATTGGGGTTACGTGCCGTTGTTTAGAATTCAGTCGCGCTAAGCCCACCTTCTGACCATTTCACGTCCGATGGACATAATACGAAACATAATGGACAGCTAGACAGAAATCTAATATAGAGCATCACGAGTTAGATATACCTACCGTTTGTCGAAAACTGCGAAGATAATTTCTCAAATCCCCTAAAGGGCAATAATCCATAACTAGGCAGATTTCTGGACCAGTGGTACAGCAAGCGATGATACTAATAAGGTTCTGGTGATGACCTAACTGCTTCATTGCGTCAATCTCAAGTAATAAATTACGACGTTCCTCGGGTAGAGCGTGCACTGAAAACAAATGTCATGTCATGTTATAAACAGTTTATTAACAAATAACCCCAGCAACCCTATATCGAACAGCAACGACACACAATAATGTCGCAAGTCTTTGTAGCCCTAAAGTATGGAGCAGTAAAAGAATTAAATTAGAGTAAAATTTCAGAAGATTAAAGCCTTGGTGATGTTTGAAATGTCTGCAGTAAATGTATTACAATGTACTTTCATGCAACTATAACAACAGTATTGGTAGATTTTTGCATATTATAAAATGTAGATTATGCGGCATGGAACACTGAGCCCACAGCAGCAAAGTCGACCGGAGGTCAAATTATGATTCCCTAGTTGATTTGTTGACAGTCGTGCGAAGATTGATATCTAGAGCTCCCACAAGATGTTTAGGGTAGTCAATCGATCTGTTTTAGTAATAAACAAAATCGTTGAAAACCAATAGGCTACGTAACATTATTTCAGTGTAGCATTATAAAAGGCAATAGTTATGAGCACAATTATCGGAGAGCGTCCACGGTATTTTCTAAAGTGGTAAAGGGAAATAATTCGGAAAGTAATTATCTGAAATCGTTGAAAATCATGTAAAAATTTAAAGTATTTACATAGACTGATATATTTAGCACATAGAATGAATGTCCACAATTCTCCATTAGTCAAGTATATGTATTTTATCATAACCAACAAGATTTCAAATACAACCTGTTAAATTTGAAGCTTATAAAATTATTTCATTATAACTTCTTGGATAGGCATTTAGTAATTGAACATCTTTATTAAACATACATTATGAAAAGGCCCGGTCCCAGTGGCCGATGGACACAAAACGTATGCAAAAAGGACACAGCGGACGGTCAAACTTTCGTGGGTGGCTCCATCCATTTTCATGGACAAAATTGACGAAAATTTGCGAAAACAGAACGGAAAAGAACGAACGTGGGAAGTATATAGCGGGGATGTTAAATGGATGTTCATCGGAAGCCTAGCGGATGAAAGCGGATGGAAGTGGATGACAGCTCCGAAGGGGTTAGGCAAACTCCAGACATCCTTCAATATACCAGATACATCCCAGATACAAACGCTTTGTCCGTTTTGAAAAATTATATACGAGATGCATACGCTTACATCCTTTCTATTTCCGTGCTACTAACGATGTATAGACGTTCCATGTACCTTATCTTTCCTTTCTATTTCCGTGCTACTAACGATGTGAGTTGCGAGGATGCCCAAAATACGCAGAGAGGATACAGTGGACGTTTAACGGATGATAACGGACATGGAACGTTTGGTGCTCGTATATGTCGCGCATTTACATCGTGCATGGCAGAAAGTTCATCCGTTATAAAAATTTTGTGCAGCTCAAAACTTTTTGCGCGGATGAAATCAAAGTGAACGGATGCTCGATGGATAGAGCGTATGAAACACGTATGCAATGAGTACACAACGGATGCATGGTGTTTTCAAACGGAGGGCACGTTTTTTTTCCCCGTTTTACATCCTCTTTGCATCCGTAAGTGCAGTGGGACCGGGACTTTAGAGCTAAATCTACCTATTAAATAGATTAGAACAGTTCAGTCATATTTTTTTATTTAAGCTAAAATTGGAGGAGCGATACATAGCTTCGAACAACCAGTACGGTGGTTGAAATTATTGCACACGTCTTGTCAAACCATCAAAGGCTAATATCGTCGCTCGCAATAGAGTAATTTAAATGAAATTTTCAAATTATTCATTTTACATTATCTATTTTCGAACTACCAAGAATGGCTAGCTCTTTATCTAAATGTATCTTTGAGTAAATAAAGACGAGAGTATCCTCGTCGTCGAAACGTCGCTTAGTATTAAACTCAGTGATTGTGTAACTATAAAATTGTACCTTGTGTTATTTCATTATAGTTTTTCGAGACTTGTTTTTACATTTGAAAGGGAACAGTGTTGGAACGATCTCAATTTATCCCTAGTCATGACGAGACATGCCCTTACGTTACACAGCAACCTCTAATCCTTTCTTGTACTGTCTTTCATAAAATATTTAAACATTAATTACCCCCCCCCCCCATAAAAAAAATGGATGAATATTCCAGAATGGCAAAGGTTATAATAATACAAAAATCTGAATACGGTGCCTTTACATTTTAACACCACGACTGCACAATTACATTCTATTTATTAAATATAAATCTAAGGCATAATAAGACGATATCATGCCGTCTCATATCTCTTTTTTTCTTTGTTAATGACATACTGTATGAAGGCCTGGGTTATAACGTGAGATTCTTTGCTAACGACACGCGGCGTTTTTTGTTATTAGCAATCCGACATATGGTGTGTAATATGGAAAGTTGCTTTTAATCCTTTAAAAAAACTATTAGCTTGACATTTTCAAGAAAATTTACTCCCTGCTGATCTTAACCTTGATTTTTATAATGTATTTATTATAAAGAGTGGCAAGAGTAACCACCTCGGTGTTTTTAATTCAAGGTCAAAGTCAAAAACAATTGAGTCCTTATTTTTAAAAAAATATGAAACAGTAAGATTTTGAGGAAGAAGATCTTCACATGTTTTTAATTAAACAACATATTATATGCATTTCTAACGGTATTTAAACAATTATTACCGCAATCACAGAGTTTGATAAGACGACTTGGTTCTTGATTATAAGGGTTTATGTAGGAACTAAGACATAAATGTCTGAAATATATTGTAAACAATTTCTGAAAACGTGTTCTTCCTGTAAGGTTACCACCCACCCACCCACACACACACCCACCCCACACACACACACACCCACACCCACAGAGGGGTGACGGCATAATACGTCCACATTATGAATGTGGACGTATAAAAATGTACGTTTATACACGAACTTCCTGGTCTATTTCATTATTAAAATCATCAGCAAAAGGTGTTATTCAAATGATCTAATTACTTAATTCCGAGAAGTATATCTCCCTGATCTTAATACATAAAGAGTTCATCGTATGTAAACTTAAGCCGTGTTACGGTATGGCAAGGTTAGAGAAATGTGATAATATCTGCATGACATCGTCTACATGTAAAAGCCATTGTAAGAGGCAATCATTTCGAACCAGTATTCAGTCGTCCACACAATTCGTATTGTTCTAACGAATCGAAAACATAGAATTGTACATGAAAGGAATTTATATAACCTTTTATTAATGGTAAATGGAATAAGAAGGGAATTTATATACGCAGACCAGGGACCGGTTGTTTAAAGCTCGGTTAACTTATAACGATTCGTTAACATGGTGTTAACGGATCGTTATCTTTAACGAAGAGACAGTTTGTTGTTGGAAGCTCCGGTGACTTGCCGTTATATTTAACAACGGCGTTGGGCTATGTTATCTGTTTAACGATGGCATTAGCAAAAAGTCATAGATTACCACTTTAGTTTTCTGTAAAATTGTATAGAAAATTCTAAAGGGTTGGCGGGGAGGGGGGGGGGGCTATCCCATTCTCTATAGGATGAAATTCTATAGTATTCTACAGAATCTTGGGGGGTCTGTAGGAAACAACGGTCCCAAATATTCCACAGTTTCTGTAGTGCAAATCCTATAATTTTTCATACAGGTTTATGCTAATATTTCTACAGGAAAATAGTTTTACAGGGTTTTCTGTAGGATATTCAACAGTTATCTATATATTCTTTAATCAAGTTTGTTTTGTGAACAAACAGCACAGTTGTCCCACTTTCTTTAGTTTCTTCTTAATACTAACTTTTGTGAAGTTGTGTTATATAATATATTATGTACATTGAATATAAAATTTTAAAATTCAGTCAATGACCAAACAGTCTTCTCTTGGATTTACTTTAATCAGTCCGTAAGCTAACGGATAATGAAGTTGACTTTCCTGCAACAGAATTTAACGGACCGTTAACAAACGGCACGTTAGCAAGATAACGATCCGTTGAGTTAAATGAGGTCGTTAAAATAACCGTGTTTTGAGCAACAAGCAACTGAGTTAGCCATGACGTTATGTATTTATAGAAACTTATAATAGCTAAAGATGCATTTTGTAAGAGCTAAATATGCCTTTTGTAGATCTTTCTTTTGGCCTCAAATTTTAATGGTATATAGGTTATTCACACGACCCTTTGTCCACAAGCAACTACCTAGACCATCGGATGGATGTGACTATGAACGGACTGAAACACTATGACCATGGATAATCGAGATAATGTTTATTATCGTAACAACAGTAGGAATGAAAATCAAGAATGAATTAATTTACCAGAAATTTCAATATATCCCATTTTATTATGTATTTTTAAAATATTATAGCGAGTACTGTCACCTCTTTATCTAAATCTTACATAATGCATCTTTAATAAGCAAATCGTCACTTGACAACTCATCATATGAACTATCGAATTCATCACTTATTCTGAAACACTTTCTATCCCATTTGCCAAAGTTTTTCACCATTTGGAAATTACTCTAAAGGGGAAACATGTCCACTTCACAATTTACAGTTCCTTTGCAATATGCTATAAACATTATCTCAACTTAAATGATGGTGTCTATTTCAAGTCAAATTGTTTTACTAATAGTTTTCTGTGGATGTAGGTTTTGTTATATTTTTATACTAAAATAAAAACAATATTGTTATCAACCACCTCCAACCTTTGCACAATTCTCTACATTTCGCGGTTGTACGTCATGGCAAGGAGTAGGGTTGCCTGTCCAACCTCGTGGGTTTTCTCCGTGGCCTCCGGTTTCCTCCCACTGCTAAAGACCCCTACGCGCAAGCGAATTATGTAAATATAATTAAAACCATGTTAGTCCCGAAATGACCTAGTTTGTGTCGAGTGGACGTTAAACCCCATTTCTCTCTCTCTCTCTCTCTCTCTCTACATTTCGAAAGCACAACGTTTGAAAACTCTAATTCTTAAATTAGTAGGCTACCAAAATAAGGTTTTTTTTATGACATGCATGTTTCACTGACCACCTATGACAATTACATAGGATTCCTATATAAGTTATAGTAACGTTTGTCAGATTCTTTTTGAAGAAACATGCCTTTAAACTGATAAATAGGCGGGTACTTTGATATATCTGTACTCTTTGATTATTTTGAATAAAAGTATAACCCGTGGGCACTAGCTGATTAAGATCTGTATATTGTCTTGGGAATTATACGCACCGACCAATGCAATATCGACTAACTAAATTATCCATTGTTGATCGAAAGATAGTTTGCATTCAAAATTCAATGGCGTATACTGCCATTAAACTAGTGGCCAGAAAACCATTCATGGTTTTATTACGTTTAATTATACGGCACGGCTAAAATACGACACGATAAGGACCGTGGACTTGGATAACCCATTCGCGTTATTATCGTACCTATTACAATTAAGTTGTTAATGTAAAATCAAAGAGCCGTAACAGTAGTTTAATGGCACTAAAATCTATGGAGGTTATTAACTTTAACTGTCTCTACGCAAATTGCAGTCTTAAATTTGTGCATGATCCTGTCAAATGCATGCGGGCATTGAAAAAGAATGGGGTGGGGTAATAAGCTAACTAGACATATCTTTCAGCAATTAAATAAAAATGGAGAGGATGGGGGGGGGGGGACTAACTAAGCGAAGGAAGAACATATCTTTCGAGTTACTTCAAGAGAATTTATTTTTTGACAATCTACAAACTTTGCCGTGGTAGCCCATAAGCAATATGTAGTACTATGCGTCGCTGGTTAGATGTGGAAAGTACACGGGAAAACTCCCCACAGCCGACGTGTGACGCATGCTCTCTTCTGCTACATATAATTTCAATAGCATTGTGATCGTCTTGTATTGTCTCTAGTTATGTTTGTTTCTTATGACTCATGTTGTGCATTTTCTTCCATCCGCTTACTCAGTTTATGGCTACATGTATATCAATACCACAGTTCGTTTCTACATTTTGATGTCAAGCACTGAATATAAAGGTTACAGACTTAGGTTACATTATAATACTTAAAATTAACAGGTCTTTCTCTGCTACCCCAAACTCGCAGATCGAGTTTACTGACGGAAAACACTACATCATAAGGCGCTCCTACAAATCAATGGGGTCTACTCAATCCAGATAGTGTCTCTTGAACCTCGGCAGTCTCTCTCGGATCTACATGATCCAGCTATCTAAGAATCTAGCGGCTGCCTGTCGATCACCCAGAGATCTGATGGTTTTCTACACTTGGGTTTCGGCCTTCAATTATGTAATTCGTTAAATATGACGTAATTAATTATAATGATTAGTTACTAAGCCAAACGATGCCGTAGGGTCATTCCATGTCAACTGGACCAGGGGTGGGAAATTGACCCCTCGAAAAAGTCTTGAAAAATATATGTTATTGTACATATGTAAAAACTAGAAATCGAGCAAAATGTGTGGTCTGTTGCGTGGAAATTGGCTGAGATACGGGCATTTGAGTTTCATGTGATTCCGATAAGTTATCGAAACAAAATATCTATCAATAATTTACTGGAGTTTCAGATATCTTGTTTTTACCTGTCTAGTGAAGATATACAGCTCAAATTTGGTAGTCTTAAAGTCTTAAATATACATTATGTAAGATAAAGATAAAGATCTGACCATTCTCACTATAATAGCTCAAAAATAGATAATGTAAAATGAAAATACTTCATTGATATTATTCATATCACTTCATTCTGAGCGAAATTATCATTGTTTTGGAGAGAGAGAGAGAGAGATAGAGAGAGAGAGAGAGAGAGAGAGAGGTGGTATTTAACATACACTCGATACAAACTGGGTCATTTCGGGACTAACATATGGTTCAATTTTATTTCAATAATTCGCTTGTGCGTAGGGGTCTTTAGCAGTGGAAGGAAACCGGAGGACATGGAGAGAACCCACGAGGTTGGACATGCGACCCTACTCCTTGTCACATACAATCGGGGAATCGAAACTACGCCAGCTCAATGACAGACCTTATGATACAACGCGCACGCAAGACGTGTGCATAGTGGTAACCAGCGCACTCAAGACTTAACCTCACTTTCACATTTATAAATAAAATTTTTAGTTAAAATCTCGAGTATCCGATGCCATCGTGAGTTGATTATGGTCTTTTTTTGTTAATAAATTTCCAATTAATAGTTTATATAGCATTCCAGGCCTAAAGAAAGACCTGCACTAGGCAGATTTAGCTCTTGCATAATGTATGTTTACAGATGAGTGGTAGGGTTGACATGCTACTTGGCCACGAAAACCGAAAAATAATTGGTGTAATTGTACATTTTCTGGATTTTGTAGTGCTCCAGGAGCTACAAAGCAATAGATATAGACCCAAAGTTTGGCCTATTCAGAGATTGGCTGTAGTACTACATAAGAAACATATGAAAACCCATCAGTCCATGTAGTGATCACAAAACAAATACAAATTTAGCCCCCCCCCCCTGGAAATAACACACCTTACCTCTTAAAAACTTAACTGCAACTACCCTTCCAGTGGACGATTTGGTAATTTTTTCTGGAGACATTGTTGCCTTAAAGACTCTGCCGAAAGCACCTTCCCCAATAATCTCAGACATGATCAATCTTTTTATGTCTAATTCATATTCATCCGCTAACAGGCTTTTATCATCAGTAAACAATTCAGGACATCTGGACGTCTCATATATTGGATTAATCTCCTAAAAAACGTCTAAACTCATTATTTTCATCCTTTAGTAACGTAAGTAAGGCATCTTTTTTCTGTCTCTTAGACAGCGTAGCGGGGAATCACGTGGCTAAGTGGGTAAGACGCTGGCTCGCTAGCCTTGAGGTTGGGTGTTCGATCCCTGCATTGGCCGAGAAAGTTCATCCAGATTTTCCGGCGTGGTTTCCCCCTTGTCAGTGATGCAGGACGGAGGGCCTGACAAGGACAGCTGTCTAGTCGTTCGGATGGTACGAAAAACCGAGGTCCCGTGTACACATTGGCGTGCACGTAAACGACCCCTTGGCAGTTGGAATTCGATATAAGAGTAGGCCGTAGCGCCGCCGCCCGGGCAAAATTTCCCTCATAGCACACTGTATGGCGTATGCCCGTCTTCATTAGCCCAGGTTAGGAGCAGAACAGTAGGACGTTAAACCCCATTTCATTTCATTTCATAGACAGCGTACCACGTACCGCCCAACAGAAACACAGAAGAATACAAACCAATATCAAAGTGATCGGTCAAGTCCTTCACAAAGACATAAAATAAATACTACTATACGACAGCTATCTTACATATTTTCCATCAACAAATGGTATTAGATGTTGCGGAAATCTTAAGGAATAACATGTCGCGGGAACGACACCCGTCACGGCTTGTAGCTAAAGGAGCCGGGCACAAATAGTCCGAGTTTAGGGGGACAACAATAGTGCGATTAAATTTAGAATAATGGTAGGCCTATATAGGCGGAAATGAAATGGGGTTTAACGCCCCATTTTTCTGGACCGATCGAACGAGAGCATATTATGTGTTCAATACAAGATAAACAGAAGGTTTTTAAATGAAGCAACAAGGATGAACAGGAATTTTCAGTGCACAGTGAAGTCATTATTTGCAAAACATAAAATCATTATAAATTTAATTTTTCGGCACGTACTGCCCGTTTCTTTCATCTCATTCAATTTACTGGACACGTTCCGTGAGAGTCTGAAGGCTTGAAAAAGGTTGTAATTTGCATATTCCGGGAATAATACTTGCAAAATTCTAGATCCGAAACTAATCTTCCGCTAGGTTTGAAAAAAAAATTAGTATTCATTTGTTTTAAATTTCGATTATCACTTTAGTTTCAATGATATCGAATTAAATATCAGCAAGTTGGAATGAAACCGCTAGATTTAACAATTTTCTATCTTTCGAGCCATTATATTTTTACACGGATCAAAATTGTCTTCGATTGACCCGTTTTCTTAATATGGGCAAGTTGGTTATATTGCATGCCCGCCGTTATGCAAGGTAACATTCAAAGTGCCAAATACCCCATTATACTGGAGTCAATGAATCAAATAATTTGATTCGATTGATGGATGTCAGTGGGTGTGATGTCACGTTTATATTTCTTACCTCTCCTCTAGTATGCCAATGTTGTCGAGGTTTCTGTTTCATTGTTGTATATCTTCTACAGATTAACACCAACGCAATAGCTATTATACTTAATATAGCTGGTATCAAAAACAGATAATATAGACTAGTGATGCCATTAGTTTCGGGAAGTGCTATAAAATCAAAAAGATATATCTAGAATTTTTAGACAGCATAAGACCAATTATTAAAATGTGATGATATGATAAAAAATAACACACAGGACATATCTGACATAAAACGAACACATAAAAGCTTGATTATACACATAAACTGTTTTCACACGTCAAGTTAAATTATATGCACGCTGAAAAAGACTTTTCGATTACAGTAATATCAAAGAAGATTGCATCTGATATACAATAAAATCTAACCGATATTTATTCAGGTCTTTCTTTAGGCGTGAAATGTAACATAAACTATCAGTTTATATAAACTAGACATTTATTAACATGAAAAGACTATAATCAACTCTCGACGCCATCTTATGTGTCTGAATTTCATTGTATTTGAATATCCGATCTGCTGTTCAGCGTCTGTTGATGATTAAACGTAGAAATGGAAAATCGAGACTTTGTTAATTATCCAGGCTACAGAGATTTTAAAATAAGGTTTTCTCGGCTTGGACTGAAGCAATTTGACTGAAATTTTCAGCATATTCCATTTAAACCATCTAGTTTTTAACTATTAAAGTGATAACTCCCAGCTCTTTATATAATTTTTTCATAATGTATCTTTAACATGCCGAATAAGCCCAATAAACTATAGTTAATATATGGTACGCGAGTTCAATTAGTTCATTTTTTAAAATATATAAGATGTTTAGGTATTAGTGAAAACTCTATACTTACAACTATTTAACTGTTCTTCTTTTGGTATTAAAATTAAATCGGAATAGTTTTCGTTATATTGCTCTTTATTATAGGCGTAACCTTAAATAAAAGAAAACACTTATTAGAAATCTGGATTCTGTTGGCATGATTGCACAGTTGATATATTTAAAACATGCAAGTTTAAAGAAACAAAGACACAATACCCCAACTCACCAAATAATTTCGCCGCAAGTACTCTCTCCTCCAGGTTATTGCATGCAATTTAATCATTCGGTTATATGCAATGACGTTAACTGAAGGAGGCATGATTTTAACATAGAAGTGATTGGGGAAAATCTTTCAACGCAGAGTTTGAAAGTTTATAATTACAATCTGTCTAATCGCCGGGCTGCACTGTAGAAAAAATATTTGTTTTTTTAAATCTCTATTTTTTTTTGTTAATTGAAGGACATAATTAATTCGTATTTTTACCCAAAAAACTGTTGTTTTAGTTGTTTTTGAATATTAACTGATAAAATCTGCTGATTAATACTATAAATTGTATCATTATAATCAAAAGACCTGTAATATTCTAGCATAACATGTATATTAAAATATAAAACAGGTGGGTGCGGGAGAGGACTGCCCCGTGCACGCCAACAAACCAGTCCACTGACGAATCCGGAATCCCGAATAACGTGCTGGCTCATTATTCGTGATTCGGCAATAAAACAGGCGATTGCTGGAGAGGCCTGCCCCGTGCACTCCATAAACCAGCCAACACCCTACTCGCTTGACAAACGGTCGCCTCCGTGTTAGTCGGCCACCTAACAGTCACTTACCCCTACGATTGGAGGTAGCGAGGAAATGGCCGGATGCAAGGTAAATCTGTCTTTCTAGTGCCGAATCCCAAATCCCGAATAACGTGCTGACTCGTTATTCGTTATTCGCGAATCTCGAATCCCGAGTAACGCGCCAACTTCACGTTGTCGTATTGGGTACCCGAATCCCGAGTAACGCGCCAACTTCACGTTGTCGTATTGGGTACACTGAAAAAAAAAACCTGTGTTGAAACAACACACAAAGACTTGTGTTATTTTCAACACAAGTTAGGTGTCTCTATTTAACAACTTTCGTTGAAACAACACAAACTTGTGTTAAATGTTGAAACAACACAACATTGTGTTAAATGTTGAAACAACACAACATTGTGTTAAATGTTGAAACAACACAAAATTTATCGAACAACACAAGCTTGTGTAAAAATCTACACATCACTTGTGTTAAAATTTCCGAAACTTGTGTTGAAATTTATGAAACTTGTGTTGAAATTTAAGAAACATGTGTGGTTTCATACAAACTTGTGTATGACCACCAACATACTTGTGTTGTATTTTCCCAATTTTTATCCAGTATAGCAACCTTTCCCATGCAGTGCTGCCCCTTTTGTCCTGTTTAAACTAAAAAGTTTGATAAATGACATATCAATAAATTTGTTTGTTAAATCATAATTTATTCATTAAATGTTAGAAAAAAGTATATAATATTAATAAAAAAATGTTATTCCAGTACTAATAAAATTGTGTTATATAATGACAAAATCACAAAATAAAAAAATAGTTATTTAAATGTACAAAAAGAAAATAATATATAGATATGTACACAAAATCCCTACCCCATACTCCCCAAAATATATAATTTAAATATATTTAAATATATTAACTACCAAACCAAGCAATGGTGAGATAAATCATGCACTAAATTGAAATACTTTCAAATACTGAAAAGCGCTATATAAACAAATGGAATAGAATTGAAAACTAAATGAAATGAGGTTTAACGTCCTACTGTTCTGCTCCGAATAGAAGAGACATTTACAAAATATTTAAAAGGTTTAAAGTCATATTACAAGTGATTTATGAGGCATCTAGAAATAACTAGCGTATGCAGAACAACTAACAAAAGAAAATGCACTATTAAAACAAATTATATAAAATGAATCTTTTGTACATAAAAGGGGTGCCCATTGATTTATAAAAACACCATGATTACAGGTTATTAACAAAGGTTATAAAGATCAGAGAGAAAGTCATCTTAATGTAGGTCAATGGTTTTTCCTAATTCTGTGAAAATTTGATCCACATTTGGTTTCTAGATAATGTCTTTTTAAAACTTTATGATTTCCGACCAAATTCTAAGTGATTTATAGGTTACTTTACACACATTTCTGGGGAGAATTAAAATCTAATTGTGTTTGAAAAGCATATTTAACATTAAAAACAAAAAATAAAATATTTAAATTCTATTCTAGAATTATAAAATAATTTGATGGTTTAATATTCAAAAGGTATGGTTGGGTTCTCTCGTTGTTATCATACATCAAATATTCTTCCAGTCTGAAAAATAAATTAGGCAATAAGAATACTTTGTATGATTCACAAAGTTTAAATCCACAAATAAACAATTTATTTGGCACATCAAGTCTCTATTTTGTTTCAACTTTGCAGACCCAAGCAGATTACTATGATAAAATGGGTCAGAAGTCAGAAATATGTCAACTATTCACCTGCATCACATTGTGTCTCCAAGTCCAGACCCCCTACTACATCAAGGCAGCACCTTTTTACTTGGCAATATCTAATAATTTTTAAACCATCCATTTTCTATTTCCATCAACAACAATTTGAATATTACCTTTTAAAATCTATTGAAATCTACTTGAAAAGTAAAATTATTGTC